AATTAATATAACTAGCATATAAAAAAATATAGATAACTTTTTGGTCTATTTTGAAGCATATATAGGAAACCTTTTGATTTATTAGTTATGTCTGAAACCCACCCAATTCATGATGTAAATGATTTTAAAATACCAGGTTACGAACTACTTTATAATGAAAGTTGCAACAATACATGTGATGGATTCGTTATATATGTTAAATCTAATAGTTTTTTGAACTATAGTTTTTTGAAAGTTCTTGTGGAAAAAAATAATAGGAAGTTTCAGGTTTTTGTGACCTATAGATTACCAAAACTAGGTAAGCTGCAATTTATAAGTTCACTGGAAGACTTGTTCGGTGAGCATTTGTGTGATGAAGTTGATGCTAGCATTTTTCTTGGGGACATAAATATTAATCTCTTGGAAAATCAAAAGTTCTAGATAGGTATCTGAATTGTCTTGCAGTCTATGGCTTTTCTTGTAAAGTTAGGGGGGTAACAAGAGAACGGGGAAACCAGCAAAGCTGCCTGGATCATTGTTTTATTAGAAGTAAAAATAATTATGTGCAGCAAATGTCTACTGCAATAATAAGAGCAGAAGTATGTGACACACATGATCACTACACAGTAGTTATTCAGTTCAAAACAAAAAACAATATTAGCCAAGAGTCTGACAATAATATCACACGCAAATTTATAGAAAAGCTAAACTATGAAAAATTCAAAAGACTGCTTGAGCAGGAGCAGTGGAATGACATTTTTGAGATAATGGATGTGGACCAATGTGCCAGGTCCTTTGTGGAAAAATTAGAACAAAAAATAAACATCTAATTAGAACAAAAACATATTACAAACAAAAATTTTCGTATCAAAGCTTGGATATCGGCTGGACTGCTAGTGTCCATAAGAAAAAGAGATAAATTGCAAAAAAAATATGCCCAAAACCCTACTGATGTTATTGCCCGTAATAACTACCTCAAGCATATAGATAATATGCTCTGTAAATTAATAAAAACTTCCAAAATAAATTATTACAGGCAACTTATAGGCAGGTGTCAGAGTCAGGGTGATCCGCAAATAACTTGGAAGACTATCAAAAACATAAATAATGAAAATAAAACTAATTTGCAAATAAAAAACATAAAAACACAGGACGGACAGCTGATATCCAATGCTAGAGGTATGGCATGTGAGTTTAATAGGTTTTTTGGTACAATTGGAAAGAAACTGGCAAAAAAATATCTTCTTCGCCTAGGCAGTGTCATAAGCCTTGGAGAAACCCATCTACTTGTAAATTCGCACCAATCACAAGGAATGAAATGATTTTACTAATAAATTCACTAAAATCCACAGCATCTAGCAATGATGGCATTGCCCCTGAAATTTTAAAAATGTTTCACCAGTATCTACTTCAACCACTGTTACATCTTACCAATCTAATCATTAATAAATGTATTTTTTCAGCAGCTACCTTTAAAGAAACTACAATCATCCCTATTTATAAAACTGGTGAAAGGAATCTTATGACTAACTACAGACCTATATCCTTAACAAGCACTATATCGAAGTTAATTGAAAAATGTATAAAATCAAGGCTTATCTCTTTTTTACAAAAACATAAAATAATTTCTCCTCAACAGTATGGGTTTAAGGATGGTGTTGGGACAGAGAACGCACTGTGTCGAGTAACAGACCAAATTATGGATGAACTAGATAAAAATCTAAAAACCATAGGAATATTTTTAGACTTGACCAAGGCGTTTGACACTGTGTCACACCAAATAATGTTGGAACGACTGGATGATGTTGGTGTAACAGGAAAATATTCACAGCTATTCAAATCTTTCCTTAGTGAAAGGCCTCAGAAAGTCAGAATAGAAAATGAATTTAGTGAAGCACTTACGGCGGAGTTTGGTGTGCCACAGGGAACGGTCCTTGGTCCTGTCCTTTTTAACATCTACATAAACGAAATAAGTAAAATAACAAAACATGCAAAAGTTATCTGCTTTGCTGATGATACGGTGTTGTTGATCAGTTCTGCCACCTGGAATGAGACATATACAAAGGCTGAAAAAGCTAGTTATGATGTTAAGCAGTGGTTAGATATAAGTTTATTGACCCTTAATACAGAAAAGACAAATTTTGTCACATTTACTAAGACAGCGGCGACTCAGCCAACCCAGGAATGCCTGACAGTCCATGTTGAGGGATGTGCTTTGGCAGGAGAATGTAACTGTCCAACTAAACTCAAAAAGAAAGATTGTGTAAGGTATTTAGGAGTTTTTATTGATCAATGTTTAAAATATGAGAAACATATTGAATATGTAACGAGTAACCTAAGAAAGCTCCTGTATAAATTCCTACAACTTAGGCATATCCTTAAGCAAAAAACTAATAAAATGGTGTATCATTCTCTTGTTGAATCTGTCCTAGGATATGGATTGGGTGTATGGAGCCTTGCGTCTAAAAAAAGCTCTCAAACCAGTTAATGTGATATAAAAAACCATATTAAAAATAATTTTATTTAAAGATAGACTTTATTCCTCCAGTACCCTATTTGGTGATGCTAAACTGCTTTCCTTACAATTACTCACTGTCAAAATGTTGGCTCGATTTATGGTCAAATATAATACCTTCAGAACCTACAAAAGTACAAATGTTGCCACAAGGAATGCGGGTGAACATGCATTATACTAAAACTCAAAAACATATTGCATTTGTCGGTCCCAAGATCTATAACGTCCTTCCAAATGAATTTAAAAATAAATGTTATGTTATAACAAATCAAAAAAGAAAATAAACTCCTGGATCTCTGAGAATAAGTTAATACCAAAGCTAATACTTATGCCGCTATTGAATTAGGTAATGATAATTGTGATTTTTTAAAACGTCAACTTGGCGACAATTATTTAACTTGCCCGAGTTCTTGCTCAATTTATTGACGGATTAGCGAGTGTTCTATTTTTCCGTCAATTTTTGTGTCAATTCAGGTTTGCAACCTAGAAATGACAACTTTTATTACTAACCGCTATATGCACCGTCGTTATTTAATCTCGATCAGGTGCTAATCCAGATCAAACCCGATTTTTTGCATGCACCGTAGTCAAAACAACTAGTAATCGCGATTAAATCTAATCCCACCAATTTCTGAGTTTAAACGAAATTTTCTAACCTTACTTATCAAATTGTTGTTGTTTTGATTTTTGTGCTTCCTTTATAATTATTGGAAATTTTTGATAGTGTTGATTTTTGAAATAGGCTATAAGCTAAAGCTATGGAAATCGAAGATGAACTCTTTTTAGAAGATGATCTTGATATACTCGAGATCATAGATTTTGGTTTTCCCAGGAGGAACTATTTACGTGAAGAATATTTCGATACAATGGACAATCATACGTTTTTCAAACGATTTCGCCTTACCAAGCCAACTACAATTCAAGTATTGGAGCAAGTTGAAGAGCAACTCGAATTTAATAATGACTTGTAAGTAATATACAAACATTAAATTATTATTATTATTAAGTATTGAAGTTTTATTTTTAATATTCATGTTCCAGAAATAATTCTGTTTCACCAATGAACCAGTTACTGGCTAGTTTGAGATTTTATGCATGTGGTACACATCAAGACGCTATTGGAGATTTTATGGGAATCCACCAATCAACTGCTTCAAGAATTATAAAAAAGGTGTCGGAAACAATAGCTCTTCTAAGGCCAGCCTACATCTCAATGCCAACTGGCAATGAAATAGTACAGGTTCAAAATGACTTTTACCAGTTAGCCAAATTTCCAGGTGTTGTGGGATGCATAGATGGAACACATATCAAAATAAAAATCTCCAGGTATATATGTATATTATGTCTAGTTCTAATTGTTCATTAAAAATTTGAAGTTGATTTGAGCAAGATTTGGCTTCATGAAATATAAACTTTGTTGGTTAGAAATAGAATTATTTTTGTGAAAAAAAAAAAGATTTGAATAGGTAGGTACCTCTGAAATTTGAAAGTTTGTTTTTAGGTGGAATAGATGCAGAAATCTACAGAAACCGAAAGGGCTATTTCTCCCTTAATGCCCAAGTCATTTATGATAGCAAATTAAAAATAAGGGACATCGTTGTGAGATGGCCTGGATCAGTACACGATTTCACAGTGTTCAATCATAGTCGCATTAGAGCACGTATTGAAGCAGGCCAATTTCCCAATAGTGTACTTCTAGGCAAGTTCAAATAAAATATTGTTTATTGTGATTTCAATTTATTTATGTTTATAGCCGATAGTGTATATGCTGATAGACAATATCTCATGACTCCTTTGGCAAATCCCAATAACAGAGCTGAGCAATTATATAACGAGTCCCAAATTCGGACTCGCAACTATGTCGAGAGGCAAATTAGAGTTTGGAAGATGAGGTTTTTATCATTGCTATATGGATTGAGATGTAAGCTTGAAACGTGCTTATCAGTTGTTGTGGCCACAGCGGTTCTGCACAATATAGCTAGAGATATGAATGAAGATTTGCCTCCTGCTTTGGAAAACATTAATGAAGAAGAGCTAAGATATCTAGTTGAAATGGGAAATATTCCCCATATCCCGCTTAATGAAAATGATGCCATCCCAATGAACAACCAAAGACGAAACCTTATTAATCAATATTTTGCACATCTTTAATTTTCTTTTGTAATAGGAATTAATTGCTCTGACTTTAATCGAAACAAGACCTAAATAAAGAATTAAATAGTTTGATTTTAAGGTTTTATTTTTCAATAACACATAAAAACTACAGAAAAACTTGTTTATTTGTTATTTCATATAAGGTCTGTTCACACAGAAATCACAAATCAATCAAGAATTCTTTGGTTTAAACTAGTTTTCTGACTGTTCAACTAATGAAATTGGCCTCGACTAATTTGTGCTGCTGTGTGAACAGACCTATTACCACCTTTACAATTTAGTTTACAAAGCAGTGCCTAAATTTCTTAATAATGTTTTCTTGTATTGAATTTCATAACTTAATAATTCTAACTTCAATTTTTGCTCTTCTTTTTGAAACTTTGCGTTTTCTTCATGTTGTCCTAATTGTTTTTCTAGTAGAGTTAATCTTCTATCCAAGAGCAAATTGTATTTTTCAGATATATCTGAAGTGGTCAATGCTCTATTGATCATTGGTCTCCTCCTATTTGTTGGTTTTGAAGTAGGTGTTTCGCCTGAACGTCCTGTGCAGCGTAAAGCAGAATTAAGTGGCAGTTTTAAATTATCAGTTTTAAATTTTTTCCAAGCAGGAGTGCCTACAAAAAAAAAATACGTTTTTTTATTGTGAGTGAGCATTGATAAATAATTATGTTGCCATCACCATCAATGCTCTTGTGAATTTTGGTATAACTTACCACTTGTAGTCTCAGTCTCTATGTTATCCACTGAATATACATTAATATTATTATTATTAATGCTTGTGTTGGGATTCTTAATCTGAAATATTGGAAAAAATACATTTGAGTATCCAACTTGCTTGAAAATAGTATTGTATAAACTTAAGAATACCTATCATGTTTGAAACTATTATTTTTTCATACCTTTTTAACATTTCCTATTTTTTGCACATCTGTCTGTACCAGGCTGAAATTTTCTTTTTCATTCTGTTCAGCTACATTTTCATCTCGATCTTCTCCAGTATCAGGTACAAATTCAAAAACATAGTCTCCACTTTGGGCACTTTGCATGATAATGGGCATTTCTTCATCCTCATCATCACAATCAAAACGACTTTGAATGCCTGTGAGACACTTTTCATTAAGTACTGACATTAGAATTTTATCTAGGTCATCAATTACGATTAGAGGCATAGTGCCTCCACCAGTTAGATGACGCTGCTTTTTTTCCTCTCCTAACTTCTTCCGTAACTCTTTTTTTTTATTTTCATAGAGCCATCTCAAAGAATCAGCATTTCTAAAACACACCATCGGGCCACTAGCATTGAACCTTTCCTCTATTTCTTTCCAAACTTCTTTCTTTTCGTCCACAGAAGTTCTATTTGTCTTTTTATCTTCTAATATTTTCCCATATTTTTGGGAAATTAAATTTATAAGGTACGTTTTCTCAGCTTGAGTGAAATTTGGGACCCTTTTGCTTTCTGCCATTTTCACAAAGGACCAATTCCAAGCATAAAAAACCAAACAACAAACAACTACAATGCCAATCGACTCAAGCCAAAAACAATAACATTTAAATTTTTAATAATTTAGGTTATGTTATTAATTTCTTTTTTTTTTGGGTTTTGCGGCGTTGCCAATTTGACAAATTGGATTTACTAATCCATATTTTCAATTCTACGGTGCATGTCAAAGGGTCATCGATTTGTGAATCCGGTTTTGATAATCGCAGAAACGGTGCATATGGCTGTAAACATCTCTAAATAAGTTTCTGAGTGAGCCACAGTGGCGGTCCATAGATAATTTTCTGGGGGGGGTAATGGATGACGGGAAAATCATTAATGGCCGTTTCCACCAACGCAAATTTAAGTTTACTTAACGTTAAGTGCCGCTTAAATTGTATTTTTTTTTCCACCAGTCTAACCTAGTCTCATTAAGATAAGCTTAACTAAGCCCAGAAATTTCTAGGCTTATTCCTCCCTCAACAAAGTGGCGATGATAAGCGCAAGCCATTTGCATAATATGTTTTTGTTGACATAACAAACGTTGAAATTGAATTGAGATAAAATTAAAGTTTTCTCAATTTTCTAATTTCTGCGTTTTTTTTTTCTCCCAAAGCCTATTTTTTTCGGCTAGAGATACTCCGTGTTTTTTTATTTTCGATTCGATTTTTCTTATTTTTTGATGTTAGCGATATTAGCAGCACTTTTTCCTTTATTGTATAGTTTGGTGTCCGGCTTTTTTTGAATAAACTCTCCCTGTTTGTTTCTATTCCCCGACTCCACGCTGCTCTAGGCACCTTCGTGCTCGTTCACACACAATGCAGGATAAACTACCAATATCTAAACTACTTCTCTGTGAAATAAACCGAACTCGCACAACAACAACAACTATCAATAATATTACTTATTAGTAATTATATTATTATAATCTTACAAAAAATTAGCGGGAAGCATCGAATGACAGATAACATTGACACGACTGGTGTAAAAACGAAAACTACACAAATTTTTCACCTGAAATGCAATGTTGTCAAAGCTGTACGACACTTAGCTAAGCTTGCACTTAAAAACTATGGTGGAACGAAATTATATTTGAGTGTCCCTTAACTTTTAAGGGCTTCATAGTTAAACAAAGCTTTGTTATAGTTTGGTGGAAATGGTCATAAGGCCCGGTTGTACAATCCAGGCTCAAACAGAGGTTCAGTTGAACTCTACTGGTACTTGAACCTTCCCATTTGAAATGCATTGCTGTCAGAAACATGCCAAAGTGTACATTTTTTGACTGCAATGCATTTCAAATGGGAAGATTCAAGTACCAGTAGAGTTCAACTAAACCTCTGTTTGAGCTTGGATTGTACAACTGGGCCTAAGTGTCGAATGACTTCCCGCTAGGGGTGTGCGATTCAAATCGATTTTTTGAAATATCGATTTTTTTGTAAACGGTTCCGATTTTTTAAATAGATTTTTTCACAGGCGATTTTTCCAAGAATCGATATTTTAGGAAGGAGATCGTCCTATTCGTCCTTACGATCTTAGATAAAAAAAAAAAAATTTAAATATAAGAATTTAGACTTGGAATCAGTCAATATTCTTCTTGGCATTAGATTTTTCACTTGGTTAGTTTGTTGTCGATCCCTTAATTGTAATTGGTTGAGGTTTTATTTGGGATTGGATCGAAATAAAACAACAGAAGTCTGTTATTTCAGATTGTCGACGTTTCGCAATATATTATTGCATCTTCAGGACACTACAAAATGGTAAGACAATGTTATTGTGCAGAGTCCTAACAACTCCAGTTATGTTTATAGTATTGGCTACTTACATTTGAGATTGACTTTCTATGTCATAACATGAACAATATACGAAGTTGTTAGGTAGGTACAGATTCATAAGAGACGTTACATTCACATACATGGTACAGTTTAAAACTTATCAAAAAATATCACAAAAACGTTATAAAAATAATCACACATTAAAACTTAAAAAGTAAATGATTTTAAAATAAAATATATAAGACAGACACAGCCAGCTGTTACTATTACAATAATAAATTAAATAGTGTTATCGTTCGTGGGAGCAAACAAAGAAAAACCAAGTAGGGAATGGCATCCGAATCAAAAAACACTAATATGAAAGCTTTTTTGTGATGATTATTTTGTTGTTGATAAAATGTTAAAATAGGCGTTACTTAAATTTTGTATATCTGTTCTTTTATTGACGCAATTTTTATCTTTTTGTATTTCGATCATCTCAGCAATTAGTCTTTTTCTGTAGTTAAATTGTGTTTGTAATATTGTGGTGTTGTCAAAGTCGAAGTTATGTCCTGTCTCTAGTTTATGTTCTACTAATGCTGTTGGGTTAGTCTTCAAGAGAAAGTTTTTTTGGTCATTTTGGTGTTCCTTCAGTCTTTGTTTCAAATATCTACCAGTCTGTCCGATATAGTTTTTATTACATTGAGAGCAAGGAATATTGTACACCAAATTTGATTTTAATTCCTTTTTAGTCTTTGATTTGGTTTTCGAGAAAAAATGCCTTTTTATGGTATTTTGGCACTTAAAGGTGATTTCGACTTTTTCTTCTTTCTTAGATTTATGGCCCTTGAATGTTCTTTTTATTCGTTCGGAAAGCTTTCCAATATAGGGGATTTTGCAAAAAAGTTTCTGATCACTTTGTTTTGTTATTTTTTTTTGAATTTGTTTTTTTAAGAATTTTTCTTATTAGAGATAATGAATAATTATTATTCAATAACATCCTTTCTATGTACTTCAGGTTCTTACTATGAATTACAGGAATGTTGCATAAAAAAACTCCCATTTCAACTTCCGTTCTATAAACGTTATGTTGATGATATCCTTACATCGATCCCTGAACATCAAGAAGCAACCATACTTAATATTTTTAATAGTTATCATCCCAGAATTCAATTTACCATCGAGAAAGAAAACCAACAAAGTATAGCTTTCCTAGATGTACTAATATTAAGATATGGAGAGAACATAGAGACTGATTGGTTTCACAAACCTAGTTTTTCCGAAAGATTTTTAAATTATTGGTCTGAACACCCTCTTCAACAAAAAATTAATATTATTAATAATTTGAAAACTAGAGCTCTCGCACTGTCTTCTGGAAAATTTCATAGTAAGAACCTGAAGTACATAGAAAGGATGTTATTGAATAATAATTATTCATTATCTCTAATAAGAAAAATTCTTAAAAAAACAAATTCAAAAAAAATAACAAAACAAAGTGATCAGAAACTTTTTTGCAAAATCCCCTATATTGGAAAGCTTTCCGAACGAATAAAAAGAACATTCAAGGGCCATAAATCTAAGAAAGAAGAAAAAGTCGAAATCACCTTTAAGTGCCAAAATACCATAAAAAGGCATTTTTTCTCGAAAACCAAATCAAAGACTAAAAAGGAATTAAAATCAAATTTGGTGTACAATATTCCTTGCTCTCAATGTAATAAAAACTATATCGGACAGACTGGTAGATATTTGAAACAAAGACTGAAGGAACACCAAAATGACCAAAAAAACTTTCTCTTGAAGACTAACCCAACAGCATTAGTAGAACATAAACTAGAGACAGGACATAACTTCGACTTTGACAACACCACAATATTACAAACACAATTTAACTACAGAAAAAGACTAATTGCTGAGATGATCGAAATACAAAAAGATAAAAATTGCGTCAATAAAAGAACAGATATACAAAATTTAAGTAACGCCTATTTTAACATTTTATCAACAACAAAATAATCATCACAAAAAAGCTTTCATATTAGTGTTTTTTGATTCGGATGCCATTCCCTACTTGGTTTTTCTTTGTTTGCTCCCACGAACGATAACACTATTTAATTTATTATTGTAATAGTAACAGCTGGCTGTGTCTGTCTTATATATTTTATTTTAAAATCATTTACTTTTTAAGTTTTAATGTGTGATTATTTTTATAACGTTTTTGTGATATTTTTTGATAAGTTTTAAACTGTACCATGTATGTGAATGTAACGTCTCTTATGAATCTGTACCTACCTAACAACTTCGTATATTGTTCATGTTATGACATAGAAAGTCAATCTCAAATGTAAGTAGCCAATACTATAAACATAACTGGAGTTGTTAGGACTCTGCACAATAACATTGTCTTACCATTTTGTAGTGTCCTGAAGATGCAATAATATATTGCGAAACGTCGACAATCTGAAATAACAGACTTCTGTTGTTTTATTTCGATCCAATCCCAAATAAAACCTCAACCAATTAGATTTTTCTTCAACATTATGACAAATTTGTGTTTGTGATACCAAAATGTAACTTTTGTTTCCTATTTTTTTTTGTGATGACATAATGTAGGTATGTCCAGAATGTTTATTTTTATGTTTTCTCTTTCAACTAAGCTAAACTAAATACAATTGCCTTATTATTCATGTATGTCTAATGTACATACCTACTTTCGGCGGTTTTGCTTTGGTTCTAATAAAATAAATTAAAAATTATGTTTTCTTGTTTAGATATCTACGTAAAATAATATGTATAATACCCTTTGAATATAAAACTACAGGAAGGAGTGTTTCCTATCTGTCACTACAGACAACGCAGGGACGGAAACGGCCATTTTGAGCCTCCAAGTATGGACTCATCATTTTTTTTGGTGGTTCGCTGTGTCCTCATTCAAGTGGAGGTTTGATGGATTTTAGCAGTTTTAAGTGATAATAAGAACTGGAATTAGTGCGAGAAGAGTGAGTCATAGTATTGACAATCATATTTAAATAAATATACGCCACTGCCAAACCGGAAACACTAGTCGGCCATATGCAACCTCCACATTTTTTGGTCGCGCAGATTCGAGGTTATGCTCCTTCCTGTAGTTTTATATTCAAAGCTAATACCTAACCTAAAATGATATAACATAATATTCAATTATTTTTAATTATATTTTATTGTATTTGATAAAGACAATCTTTTCTTTATGTACGAT